AATTTTTTATGATTCAGTCCTTCCTTCAGTTTGAAAATTTAAAGTTTTTAGGGGAATGAGAAATAAGAAACAAAGAACTTTACAAATTCAGCCCAACTTCCAGACACATAAACTAGGCTTAGCTAAGATTTCCGCTTTGTCCTTGAGTTGCGTATCAGGTATGTTATGATTGATCACATTTCACGCTGTACGGGGTTCCTACATTTTTTTTTATCACACACTTGCTTATGAAGCACATTCCCTATTTTGATCGATTACAAATCTCGTTCTTTGCAAAACGCTTGGGTTGAGGAATTAGCTTAACACACGTTGTCAGAAGTTGAGGGTTTGTTTACGATTTTCATCAAATTAATGTTTTAGTGACCTTATAGTTTTCTTATTCAACGCTGTGTGAAATTATTTCTAACGTAATTAATATAATCTAGTCATTTAATGAGTTATAACGATAAACAACAACGAAACCTACGTTGTAAAATGTTTACTATAAAGAGATTTTCTGAATGGTAATATGATCTCAACTTCCTTCAGAATTCTTAGATCTATCTGATTACGTGTAACTAACGTCATCACATCTAGGACTGACATCATTACATCTCAATCGAGAACAGTATGTCGTCTTATGGCTTCTAAAATCTTACTAATTACGTGATACTTAATGTCATCACCTCTACATTCCAGAGTGAATACTGTAGTCCTGCTAACATAAGCTTGCATTCCAGAATGAATACTCTAGTTCTGCTAACATAAGCTTTTAATTCAGAATGAATGTTGTACGTAGTTCTGTTAACATAATCCAGAGTGAATACTGTTGTTCTGCTAACGTAAACTTGCAGTCCAGAGTGAATACTGTAGTTCTGCTAACATAAGCTTTTAATTCAGAGTGAATACTATAGTTTTGCTAACTTAAGCTTGCAATCCAGGGTGAGTACTGTAGGTCTGTTAACATAAGCTTGCAATCCAGAGTGAGTACTGTAGGTCTGTTAACATAAGCATACATATACCCGAATGAATACTGTAGTTCTGCTAACATAAGCATGCATACACCCGAATGAATACTGTAGGTCTGCTAACATAAGTTTGCATTCCAGAATGAATACTGTAGTTCTACTAATATACGCTTTCATTCCAGGGTGAGTACTATAGGTCTGTTAACATAAGCTTGCAATCCAGAGTGAGTACTGTAGGTCTGTTAACATAAGCATGCATACACCCGAATGAATACTGTAGGTCTGCTAACATAAGTTTGCATTCCAGAATGAATGATGTAGTTCTGCTAACATAAGCTTTAATTACAGAGTGAATACTGTAGTTCTGTTAACATAAGCTTTTAATCCAAAGTGAATACTGTAGTTCTTCTAACGTAAGCTTGCACTCCAGAATGAATACTGTAGTTCTACTAATATACGCTTTCATTCCAGAGTGAATATTGTAGTTCTGCTAACATACGCTTTCATTCCAGAATGAATATTGTAGTTCTGCTAACATACGCTTTCATTCCAGAGTGAATACTGTAGTTCTGCTAACATAAGCTTTCATTCCAGAATGAATATTGTAGTTCTACTAACATAAGCTTTTAATCGATAGTGAATACTGTAGTTCTGTTAACGTAAATTTGTAGTCCAGAGTGAATACTGTAGTTCTTCTAACATAAGCATGTATACACCCGAATGAATACTGTAGGTCTGCTAACATAAGCATGCAAATACCCGAATGAATACTGTAGTTCTGCTAACATAAGCTTTCATTCCAGAATGAATATTGTAGTTCTACTAACATAAGCTTTTAATCGATAGTGAATACTGTAGTTCTGTTAACGTAAATTTGTAGTCCAGAGTGAATACTGTAGTTCTTCTAACATAAGCATGTATACACCCGAATGAATACTGTAGGTCTGCTAACATAAACATGCAAATACCCGAATGAATATTGTAGTTCTGCTAACATAAGCTTTCATTCCAGAGTGAATAGTGTAGTTCTGTTAACATAAGCTTTCATTCCAGTGTGAATGCTGTAATTCTGCTAACATAGGCTTTCATTCCAGAATAAATATTGTAATTCTGCTAACATAGGCTTTCATTCCAGAGTGAATATTGTAATTCTGCTAACATAGGCTTTCATTCCAGAATAAATATTGTAATTCTGCTAACATAAGTTTTTCCAGAGTTAATACTGAAGTTCTGCTAACATAAACTTTCATTCCAGAATAAATATTGTAATTCTGCTAACATAGGCTTTCATTCCAGAGTGAATACTGTAGTTCTGCTAACATAAGCTTTCATTCCAGAGTGAATAGTGTAATTCTGCTAACATAGGCTTTCATTCCAGAGTGAATACTGTAGTTCTGCTAACATAAGCTTTCATTCCAGAGTGAATAGTGTAGTTCTGTTAACATAAGCTTTCATTCCAGAATGAATACTGTAGTTCTGTTAACATAAGCTTTCATTCCAGAATGAATACTGTAGTTCTGCTAACATAAGCTTTCATTCCAGAATAAATATTGTAATTCTGCTAACATAGGCTTTCATTCAAGAATAAGTATTGTAATTCTGCTAACATAGGCTTTCATTCAAGAATAAGTATTGTAATTCTGCTAACATAGGCTTTCATTACAGAATAAATATTGTAATTCTGCTAACATAGGCTTTCATTCCAGAGTAAATACTGTAGTTCTGCTAACATAAGCTTTCATTCCAGAGTGAATACTGTAGTTCTGCTAATGTAAGCTTTTAATCCAGATGAGTACTATCGTTCTGCTAACGTAAGCTTGCACTCCAGAATGAATACTGTAGTTCTGCTAACATAACATGAATATTGTAATTCTGCTAACATAAGCTTTCATTCCAAAATAAATATTGTAATTCTGCTAACATAGGCTTTCATTCAAGAATAAGTATTGTAATTCTGCTAACATAGGCTTTCATTCCTGAGTGAATTCTGTAGATCTGCTAACATAAGCTTTCATTACAGAATAAATATTGTAATTCTGCTAGCATAGGCTTTCATTCCAGAGTGAATTCTGTAGTTCTGCTAACATAAGCTTTCATTCCAGAGTGAATAGTGTAGTTCTGTTAACATAAGCTTTCATTCCAGAGTGAATGCTGTAATTCTGCTAACAAAAGCTTTCATTCCAGAATAAATATTGTAACTCTGCTAACATAAGCTTTCGTTCCAGAATAAATATTGTAATTCTGCTAACATAGGCTTTCATTCCAGAGTGAATAGTGTAGTTCTGTTAACATAAGCTTTCATTCCAGAGTGAATGGTGTAGTTCTGTTAACATAAGCTTTCATTCCAGAATAAATATTGTAATTCTGCTAACATAGGCTTTCATTCCAGAATAAATATTGTAATTCTGCTAACACAGGCCTTCATTCCAGAATAAATATTGTAATTCTGCTAACATAGGCTTTCATTCCAGAGTGAATACTAATACTGTTGATTATTGATCAGTTTTATATCAACCGTTTTCCTATATTCTTTCTATTGTAACATTTGCGAATAACTGAAGGAATTTTATATTAATGAAGAATTATTAAAGCGTCTTGTATGGTAAAAGAAATGCTGTGCTTGTTTTTATATGTTGATCTTGGTGGCTGGACGACTTGTGTGGTAAATAGGCTCTGCTTTCTTTCATGAATATACTTCTACGAAAGAGGAGCTCAACAAATGGTACTACTAATTCTATCTAAAGAGAAACGATTCGTTTTTAAGAAATGAGTTTATTTTCCTGTGTGTGCTACTGTACAAATAAATACAGGCAATATTTCTAATTCGCTCTCAATATATCGAATCGACGAAGTTTAACAGATGTGCTTTTTATGCACGTGATTTCTAGAAGTAATTATGTATCATGTAGAGGAAGAGGTCGAGAGTGTAGATCGTATGATTTTGTTTGTTCATTTGTAGGTTTTTGCCAATTCATTCATTGATCACAAAATTATATAACTAAATGCCCAGCAAGTCAGTAAGGTTGAATTATGTCCTTGTGGACTTCCAGTTTACGGAAACGTGGAGGGGGGGAGGGTCTTTATTTTAGAAATATTGAAGGGTTACAAAATTCAACCTACATTTAACCCTTTGTTGCACATTGTAATGTATAGGTTACAGATATATCTTTATTACCTAATACACATACAAATGCTTAATACACTGTGGTAGTTGAATGCTCATACTTCCAGGTTACAGTTTAAATACACCAAATAATTATTTCTGTTGGTTCCTCAATTGAACAATGTTACTTCTAGGTAACAGTTTAAATAAACCAAAGAACTATTATTCCTGTTGGTTCCTCAATTGAACATTGTTACTTCTAGGTAACAGTTTAAATAAACCAAAGAATTATTCCTGGTGGTTCCTCAATTGAACATTGTTACTTCTAGGTAACTTGCCCATTTATAATTTACCAAAATATATATTACACAAATATTTTTATGCTACTTGAGTAAGATATTCAAAGAAAAAAAATGTCCACGGTATTTTCATAATGCGTGCAATAGATTATCAGTGGTATTGAACAGAGAGTGAGATATTTATCATTCACCTGCTTTAAATACCGAGGCAATATTGTATTTTGGAATTTTTAGGTTACTTGTCGTTTCAAGTGGTCTTTTATATACATTTTGAAACGCCTATAAATAGATGGAAGCAACTTTAAAATGCGTTTTGATTTACTATCTTTACAGTTTGACATTTTGAGTAAAAGAAAATGCAGAATTGTTTGATAAATTTTGAAAGTTATGTAAATTATTTTGTATCTTTGCCTTTCTATTTTCTAGAATCTGATTAGGCTTCAAAGGTAAGAGTCGATGTAGTTTTAATTACAAGCATACCTTAAATTCAACTAAATACATAAAATATTTTTAAAATGCGTGCTTTTTTGCTAGAAATGTTTGAAACTGAAATATAACTAGTAGTAGAAATTTATGTTTAGATTTTACTGGATTGTTTGTGTGGTATAATAAACTTACACTCATCTCTTGTTGTATGGGAATTATCAACAGCAATCCCAACATGAAACATTGTTCTTGTGTAAAGATAAAGAAACAGTGGACCATACAAATCACCAGAAGAGCGAAGAAAAAATAACAATCGTATGGAACTATAATTTGTATGTGAAACCCACCTTCCGCGACCGGCAATAGATGTAGCGGAATTCTTGAGGGATTACTGTTGAAACATTCCGAGGCAGAAGCTTCCAACTATCAACCGATAAGGAGTTCGCTGTTAGTTATGGACGAATGTATATAGGGCTCTTGGTGAGAAATTGAAACGGCAGAGCGTTTTTGTCTCGTACGTGAGAACACGTGTTTCTACAGTCTCTTAACACTATTAAGAATGTTCGTTATCAGTTAGTTCTGTACTTACAGGCGACTTATCCCACCCAAGGGACAGACTCAATCAGCAATTTCTCCGCAGATAATATACGTAATGGCGTCGAGACTTTCTGAAATTTGATACTATGATATAGTTGAAGATAACCGGCATGTATAAGTTCATAACGTAATTTTGTGAATTGTGACATTCAGAAATAATTTTATCACGAATAAGTACAGTTTCGATGTAATTGTTATTAATGATACCGAAATTAGTAGTTTTCACCAATTTTAATACAAAACATACTGATGTTAAAATGGCTGAATGTTTGGAATACTTGTCTGATACACTGTGGAATATCTATCTGATAAATTGTAAAATATCTATCTGATACACCGTGGAGTATATATATCTGATACACTGGAATATCTATCTGATACACTGTGGAATATCTATCTGATAAATTGTAAAATATATATCTGATACACTGTGGAATATCTGTCTGATAAATTGTAAAATATCTATCTTATATACTATTGAATAACTATCTGATACACTGGAATATCTATCTTATATACTATGGAATAACTATCTGATATACTGTAGAATATCTATCTTATATACTATGGAATATCTATCTGATACACTGGTATATCTATCTTATATACTATGGAATAACTATCCGATACACTGGAATATCTATCTTATATACTATGGAATAACTATCTGATATACTGTAGAATATCTATCTTATATACTATGGAATATCTATCTGATACACTGGAATATCTATCTTATATACTATGGAATAACTATCTGATATACTATGGAATATCTATCTTATATACTATGGAATACCTATCTTATATACTATGGAATATTTATCTTATATACTGTAGAATATCTGTCTGATACACTGGAATATCTATCTTGTATACTGTGGAATATATCAGGCTCATTTCTACAAACAACTAATCTGTATAAATAACTATTGTTTAGGGTTAACAATGTGCTAAATGATTATAGTTCAGAACTATTAGAAGAAGAAAAAAGAAGCTTGAAATATGAAGCATTGTCTTTGAGTTCTACTTTGCAGTAACTAGAAAAGAAACGAGAGTGAGGTCAGTAGATTTCGGGATCATATTTTTTCTGACGGGAATTGGGATAGCATACTTTTCATGGTCTGAGATAACACGAACAAAGACAATAATTTGTGACAATTGATCTCACGCGCTTTACGATGAGGGTAGCCGAGTTTTTTTCACTTCAATTACGAGTCTTGTTTTTTAAGAAGTAAGCAAATCATGACGAGGGTTTAAAATTTGATAGTAGTATTCTATGTTCACTATAAATAACCCTAAATATTCTACACCAATCACAATGCTAAAAAGTACAGGGCATTAGTTGTTTATACTGACTAATCAGGGTATTTTTTTATACACACTAATCACAATATTATAATGTATAGGGTATATTAGGTACTTGTACGATTACATAAGTGTTCAATGGAATAACTATATTGCTTTGAGTAATAAATTCTTTGCAATCCGCATGTGATTGAACATAATACTACTTGCATGCTCAACTATCCTTTCAAGCGCCATTTTAATTATGTTTGGTGGTGTTGTACGAGATCATTTTAACGTTTATCTCCCAGTGTAAAAATGAATAAATTATGTTTTTATAAATTATTTCCAGTTGGACATGTGAAGTTGATGAACACAGCAATTGACAGTTTTGTTATTCTTTAGCTTAAAGTGAGATATTCTCAAATGCTTTTAAATTACTTATGTGTTTACCATTCAGTATAAAGAAATATGCTTGAATAGGGTTAATTTGGGGGCGTTTGTGTAGCGATTGTTGGTTAATTAATTGTCTCATACTTATGTGCTGGAAATGAACATGTATCGTTATTAGTATAACAAAACAATGTATAATTTATATGCAATGAGCATTAGAAAAACCCACAAGGACATGGGGGGGGGGGCTTTAAGATATAATATGACACACAGAGGTATTGTCTCTAAAACTGTTAAACGTTTTTAATCTAAGTTATAAAATACAAATCTTTCAAGAGAGAAATATTATGTTGTATGTGATATCGTAAACAGGCTGAGTTTCCTAGTTGTTTGTGAAATATAACAAAATGGCCTTGTTTGTATTGTAGATGTGGTTAGTTTTAGTTCGAAACATGTCAGAAACGATGATCACTCGTGGTTCTTTGTTCATTCACAGACGGACTTGTAATTTCAAAAATATTTAAAGATGTAAATGACATGATGTGTTCACTTTGAACGTTTTAATTATTCTGATTTTCAAAAAACTATCAATTATTTGTTGTTATATTTAGATATTTGCACAAGGGTTTCTCTGTGCTTCCCTTCCTTAGTTTTGAACAAGAAGAAAATAGCTAGCCAACAACATCCATTGACAACTTTCATCTACTTTAACCAAATAGCTCAAAAGAGCTGAACACGATTTTGCGTCAACGGAATACGAAACACACACCCTCGGTTCTACAGTTCGGAAGGTTAACCTCTACGCCACGCCTAATCAAATTTATTCATAATTAGCAGCTTAGGTATGCATTTACGTATTGAGAGATAAAGAGAGTTTAAGGAAATAATAAGAAAGATTGTGGAAATAAGTCTCCAGGGTTCATACTTTCCACATGTAACATATAGTAATACGTACCACATGTTTTTGTAGACATTAACCATCACAATGGCTGACCAGTCAATTGACGTGCTTAGATAATTAGATGTACAACATACGGAGATGCATTCTTAGTTATCGTAAGATCGGCCTAAACGCACACGTCCTGGATAACAAGTTCCAGCAGCACATAACAGTCTGTTGCGTCATAAAGTTGCCAAAAATATTCGAGTTTAAATGAATATAGAGTTCATTGACAATGTGTTTTAAACATAAATGTGTTCGTTACGTTTGGGCAATATGAAGATATATGAAACACGCCGATTTTCATCTTTTTATTCTCATGTAAAACATGTCCATTTAGGGCGAAATATCGGCATGTATAATCTATCCTCAGACCATCTTTTAACCATCTGACTAAATTAAGAAAGAAGAATGTCTACCACAGAAAACTGTTTCTATTTGACATCTGCTACATTTGATGTTGTTCACTTGTACACTTTCATGCTTTCCGTCTGTCGACGTCTTCACTCTTTGCCCCCAAACAGGAGGCAGCCATATTTCTTACTAGTTTGGAAATATCATTGGTTGAGTGACAAACGAAAGGCGGAGCTCTATTGTACCCCGTTTTTTTCGTCGTTGTCTCTTGGTTCTATTCAAATATGTACACGATGAGACAGTATATAACGAAATAGAGGTCTTGAACTTTAAGGGTGGGTATAGTTTACTGTATTGTTTATGGTATATCCTACGTGTAATCAGGAATGAAATAGTGGATGAAGGTGGTGTATATATAATAAATGCCTTGTCCTAATTTTAATATAAATTAGCAGTTGTTTCCTTTTTTTTTTCTATAAAGCTTTATCTGGTGAAACAACACAATTTCTTTGTGATAATATTGTTTACATTTCGACAGTGATTGTTGTCTTTACGATGGCTTTTTGTGTCCTTGAAGTTGTTGAACTTTCCGAAACTTTGAAATGTCGTGGGAAAAAGCAAAATTGTATACATTATAGAACGACAATTAAAACTTTTTGTTGCTCCTTTATATAACTACTAGTATAAAAGCCCGTCAAAAATGACGGGAACTATTGTTGAATGATTAATGAAAATTATAGAATTTAACTAAAACGAATTTGTCTGTACCTCCAAAATGCACCTACTCTTCACTTATTTCATCAGTCACGATGTAATTCTTTAATCACCACATTTTTAGTAAAAACTACACAGAAAAATGAAATGTTATGGTAAATAAAAGTACGTGTGCACTCTGAAAGAAATTTAAATAGGACTCTTGAGCCATTTCACTGTATTCTAGGTCAGGAAATAGAAAACATAGTGCGGAAATTCCGACACAAATTTTCAACTCTTTTCGACTGTACAAAGGATAAATATAATTGATAGTAATAAACGTTTATTTTTCTTTATGTTTTAAGGCCAGGTAGATAATATATGTGTTAAAATACCCAAAGAATATTTATTAATTAACATGTATTCACTACTTAAAACTTTTGAAACACTGACTATAACGTTGGTAATAGTAGGCGTGTATGTTGTCTAATTTAAGCATTAGGCCTAATACCTAAACGTAACGTAAGGTTTAGCTGAAACACTAATTGGTAAATTTTATTTTGCTTTAGGCTACAACTCAGTGTCATAAAACTTCTGATTTAAACTGTTATATCACCGAATTTATATATAAAAAAAGAATAAAAAAACAAACCTCCCTAAAAAATCAACTTGAATATTGAGCAGTTCAAGAAATAAGATAACAAAATGCAAAATAGAATATTGAGCATTCAACATAATTACCATAGTTGGCCTTAGAACAATCAGGTAATAGTTTTGTTGCTATGCGACGATGTATATTGTTGAGTATTACCAAAAAAGGAGCGTGAAAACGTTCTCGACAGAGTGACAAAGGGAATAAGCCTTTTGAAGCTAGTGATAGTATAACGTGATTTAATAATCGCATTATTAGAGAACTTTTAGTGTTTACTGTTACTCAACACAATAAATGTTTCCTGCTGACAGTGTTTCATTATCTGTGCTATAACAGAGACGACGTGCATTGGCGAACTAATTTCGAGTCTGACTATGGTGATCGGTGTTTTTATGTATATTGTAGTAAAGGCTATTTAGTTTTAAATTAGTCGATGTTAAGCGTCAGTTATTTTTACAAAGTTTGAGCTGTTTTAGGTTTTAATCTAGATTATAAATTTCTTGATACATATAGTGAATGATGTGTTTTTATAAAGTTTGGCTGGAGACCATTACATTATCAAAAACGTAATTCATAGACTTTGATATCGAATTCGCTTATGGACAAAACAAATATAAATATACTATACAATGATAATTATACTATATTGGTACAGTGTAACATGGTTTAATAGTGGGATTATTAGAGAACTTGCATTGTCGACTATTACTTAAAATATGAATGTTTTACTGCTGACAATGTCGTTTGTCGATATGTTTTACTCGTAGTGTTGGCTATTATTTAACATATGAATGCTATATTGCTGACAGTGTACTTTTTTGTCAGTAGTCTGATATTTTCATTATTGTCTACTTGAAGTGTTGGCTGTTACTTAACATTCAAATATTTTATTGTTGACAGTGTTTTTTGTCAGTCGTCTGATATTTGCAATATTATTTACTTGTAGTGTTGGATGTTACTTATAAATGTTTTGTTGCTGACAGTGTACTTTTTTGTCAGTAGTCTGATGTTTTGAATATTGTTTACTTGTGGTGTTGACTGTTACTTAACATTCAAATATTTTATTGTTGACAGTGCCTTTTGTCAGTAGTTTGACGTTTTCGACACTAACGTAGATTTGTCTGGACATGAAAATATCAGAAAAATAACACATTTTCAATGTTGTTGTTTTTTAAGTGCAGATTTAAACTACAAGTTTTTGATTTAAGAAAATTACCAAGATAACTGGGAAACAAAGATGCAACTAACTTGATTACTGTTCCTTGTCTATATGTCTTTATCAATGATTTCATCTAGTGAAATATTTTTAAAAAACTGTAATGCATATTACCTGCCTTTGAAGTATACATGACCAAAATTTCGGTTTTTATTCAATACAATGTTAATATGGATATCAGTTAACTATCTGTAAAAATACATTAATTGAATGAAATACTTGTTATAGGCCAGTCAGTTTTTTTCACGGACTAATATTACTGCACATTTTACATTGGAAAACTACAACGTTCGAGTTCAGCATAAATTATAACTTTTGTTCCTGACATTGGGAGCTCAGATCAGTTTGAATAGCCTCAAATAGTATGAATAGAACATTAAATTGCTTACAAGATAAGATGAATAACTATATATTTAAGTTGTAACAGTCTGGCCAAATTACTCTGATATTATTACACTCTCTATGTTATATAAAATCTATTTTATGTAAGTTGAAGTAATAATGAAGAAAACATCATGGATACTTACCTCTTCAGAGTTTCGGATGTACGTCGACCTGGTTGGCTGAACACCCTTTACTCACTGACAGGAGATGCCATGCATTCGAGAACTGTTAGTCTCATACTCGTTCCTATAGGATGGCCGTCAGACACGAGCATGTCGTCACGCCTTATTCGTAAATTCCACGTGAAATCGACGGGGTGGAGCCAAAAGGGTTGTGTCGCAGATTAATAGTTATTGGTTGTAGATAAATAATAAGTAAGCGTATTAAGACAAGAGGACGTCTGCATATATAAGTGCAGATAAAACGTGGAGTCAATATTGCGTGGTCAATTGATGTTATGTGACTTTAATTACTTAATGTTATGTAACAGTCTATTTAAGTGAACGTGAAAGTTAGTGTATGCATATATACATACATATATAACAGATGTAAAGATATAAGATTCAGTTCAGCTATATTAAGTGAGGTGACTTAGCTTTTCTCATACCTTGAAAGCCAAAATATTTAAATTACCAGGATAAACCTTAAAAGTTTAATATTATTTTTTTTCAGTTTATTTGTTTATGAAATGGTAAACGCAAACATTTCCATCAAGCAACTATAGAAACCAAAATTAAAACCCAATTGTTAGAGCTAAACAAACAAACAAATCAAGAATAACGACGTAAACTATTTTTGTTGGACCAACTATGAATTAGTGACGAAATCATTTTTAAAAAGCACGATGAAAAGCTGTAGTAAAAAAAATCCAGGAATAACAGACATGACTGACTGGAGGGGAAAACTGTGAGAGAAGTCATGACTTGAAGAACTAGTAACTAATGGACATCAACATTTAATGAAGTTCTCTGTTTCTACGACTAATCACTGGATAAGTGAATATTTCTCATATTTACTTATACAGTATAAATACATCTCGGTGGTTCAAGTTATTAGGGCAATTAGCTCTCAGCAAACCAGGGAACATTAGCAGCGAATATCAATTTTCTCAAATTAGTGGTTTTGACTGGTGTGTCGAAATATTTGTATAAGTAGTGAATACTTTTCTCTGTCTTGGAGAATGATTCAAGTAGCAGTTCACTGTATATTCAAAGTTAACGTGGACAAGATACTTTTAGTTTTGATACTCGTTCTATGAGAGTCATGCCAAGTTATAGAAACATGTTTTAGAAGTAGAGATTTGTTCACTGGTTCTAGAGGGATATTTAAATAGCAGTTAAGTGTATATTCAAAGTTAACGTGGACAAGATACTTTTAGTTTTGATACTCGTTCTATGAGAGTCGTGTCAAAAAGAGCCATCCTACTATATTCTCTAGTGAAATGCTCCAGTTTCTGAACAGCTTTGTTAGGTTACTGATTTATAGCTAAGAGAATATTTCAATACATATATTTTTTTCTTTGCGGGTATTAGTTGAGTTAAAATCATAACAGTGAAATAGCGTACAACAGTCACCTGACCTGTCACAGTTCGAATGTATTTGGAATTATCTTGTTACTTTAAAACGATTCTTGTCACGTGGCATGGGTATCGTGCAAACTCATTATAAGCTATGTTTTTAATAAGTTATTTTGTATTTGTTGTGAACATTAATATATTTCATATTTCTGAGTGGTATTGTATTGATATGTATGCAATACAGCATGAAACTTGTGCCATTTCAATTTTAATGTGGTGCTTTCACATATTAATAATATAGAACAGAAGTAAAAAAAAAACAATGATCAGAAACGTAAAAATATCGATATATATTTTTGTTTCAAACTTCTTCAAAAAATTCAATCGTGTTTGCAATCGTGCCAGGTTTAAATGCAAGAACAGGTTTTTGTGTATTTGTTACACAATGGGATATCTGTGTTCTATTCACCGCAGGTATCAAAGTCTGATTTTTAGCGTTGTAAGCCCTCATAATTATTAGTAATAACAGATAATCAATGTGATTATAGTTAAAAGCATGGGGAATTTGAAAGAACAGCATGCAGACTCAATCCGAGGGCTAGTATGCTTTAACTATCTAAGTGAAATTGGATGTTATGGTGCAACTTTGGAAAAGAGTGAGACTATTAGATGATTTTTTAGCATTCACACAACCTCACAAATATTACATTTCGTTATCAATTAATGGACATACCAACTTTTGCATGGTTGATTTTAGACATTAAATTGCATTATCTTGTCTACACGTACCAAGTTTCTTTAAAGGGAAAGAATGTCAACAAATTTATTCAAAACATAGATTTAAATTTATTTGTTTGCCCGACACCGTGTATAACGAACGTGTTTACGTGTTAGAATGACTTACTGATACATCTAACGTATTCTCTGAATCGATTGCGTGGATGGAAGAAAGCAATCAGTGAAAGTAAATGGTGATGATTTTGGAAGATTCAAGTCTCTCAAGATTTAAAGAACTCTGGGAGCGCGATTCCACAATCTTCAAATGAGAAAATGTCCGAAATTCAGGACTGTTTTCATTGACCAGTCGACAGAATGAAAAAACAAGTTTTTATATATTTGGACATGGTTGCATATACGTTCATATATCTTGAAGAGAATTTACTATAGCATGAAAAAAACTTTTTTCTAGTTTGTAAATTATTCATACATGTATTTTCTTGGGGCATCTACATGTTTCACAACACAAATGAAAATTACATCTGTTTGTTTCAGCCTGTGTATCAAGTTTACTGATTTTTCGTGTACATTGGCTATCTTTTGTTTGGAATATTAAAAGATCTTATTTATCTTTCGAGGCTAATATTTCGTTCAATTATTCATATACAAAGTGACAGAATCATACCTTGTCTGAACATACCAGAAAACATTCGTGGAGACGCATTTTAGGTTATTACGGTCTTCAGTTTTCTTAAACAAAGCTGCGCAATAAATATTTTATTGAAAATGAATCTTGTTCATTGATACCTGTGGCAGTTATTGAAAAAAAACAACAAAAATGATCATAGTTGTGTAAATTAATCGCTATTATGAGTGATTGATAAATGTTTATCACTTCATTGTGTTGGCTTATAGAGGAAACACAGGGGTTATTCAATTATTTTTTGCGTTTTAATGGAAATTCCCATATGTTCATAGGCTCTGACTTTTAAATGGCGTTTGGTTTTGCCATTATAAGAGGCCTTACTGTCTCCACACGTGTGAAGATAGACAAGTCAAGAACAATAAGGAATGGGGAGGAGATCTTTAGTAGGGAAGAAATTTTTTATGCGTGATGTGGATTTAAAACTACCCTCAAGTGGATTTAAATGAAGAAACAGGACATCAACCTATACTATCAAATTTCTCTATCCTCTGTTTATCACTTATAATGAAACTGAAATATGGATTCTCCCGTACAAGAAATTGTATCCATAATGTTAAACATTGAAATGATTTTTGTTAGCTACTGATTCGACTAAAGCAGGATAAACGCTAAAAATATATAACATGTATGTTAGGCTTACTATATTACAAACTTATCTTACGTTCACTCATTGCGCATAAACTGTAGGCGGATAAGTTGAGAAAAATATTAGTATTTTGAACACGATTATGTCAACGGTTTGTTTTTACTTTTTTTTTGTGATAGTGCATGTGATAGCAACTAGCAGATCAATTAATCAAACTTATTCAAATAATTTAGTATAATAAATGATGGCGTGATTTTATGAGACGTTTAAAATACATGTATACCGTTTCAGTCAGAAAATTTGTATTACATATTTGTTAACATTTCTAATCTGTGCATTGTACTTCTGGTTAAAGGAAATATTGTATCTTTGGAAAACGTCCACCAAGGAACCTATTTAGAGAGAAAACTTTCATTTGAGACATCAAAAAGCTTCTTTTTTTTCTTATGTGGTACTATATCAATCTTAATGAAATACGTTATGGGTATCTAAGTATTATCTTTAGCTTTTTTGATTTTCAAAAATAAATGCTTTTGACAGTATATACGCATACTTTATGGAACTCGTTTTGAAAATATCCATAATTGCTATGGAAACTAATCTTTCATTTTGATCGTAAAATTTGTAGCTTAGTAATAAAAATATTACTTATTTATTCTTTAAACCTACGATTCGTAAAGCCTTACAGCAAATTCGTTTTGGCTGTCATATTTTATCATTTACCGTGATAAACTACGTGCAATAGGCTTTACTTCGAAGTGCACTACCGGATATTAAGACTAACAAACTACAGTGATTGTGCTGCAAAATGTAAATTTTCGTAGCTTGCAGTTGAAATAAAATAAAAATACTCAAGTTGCAAGAAAACGAGTTTTCATTGTCATACTAGAAATATACGACCTTAAAACACGCGACTTTGATACTCTTCTTTGGATACTCAAAGTTTTGCTTTGAGCTCTTCTTTTGGAGCTTTGTACTGCCAGTTATGATTTATGTTTTAGCGGAATGCACCTGAAGAAGCTGTAAGGCGAAACCTTAAGTGTCCAATTAAAGAAGAAAAACAAATTTTGATGTTTTAAGGTCGTTTATTTCTAGTCTTAAAATGTCTTTTAGACACCAGTGTGTACTACAGAAATAAAATAATGATTTTTCATTGTCGTTGAATACAATATATGACATGCAATTATCTATTAAAGAACTCCCAATCGAAAGTAAGTAAATTATACTTATAAGACCTAAATTAATAAAAAAAAAAGTAATCCTGCATAAAATCTAGCTAGAATTACGTAATGTTGTAAACCAATACACTGGCATACCAAAACTTGTATGATTAAATTGCATTGAATTGACTGAAAACACAGACGTATCTTGGAGCAAACACTTGGAGGAGGAGGGGGGCATGGCCAGGTGGTTAGGGCACTCGACTCGCAATCTGAGGGTCGCGGGTTAGAATCCCTGTCACATCAAACATGCTCTCCCTTTCAGCCGTGGGGGCGTTATAAGTGACGGTCAATCGTACTATTCGTTCGTAAAAGAGTAGCTCAAGAGTTGGCAGTGGGTGATGATAACTAGCTGCCTTCCCTCTAGTCTTACACTGCGAACTTAGGGACGGCTAACGCAGATAGCCCTCGTGTAGCTTTGCGCGAAATTTAAAACAAAACAAACTCTTGGGGATGCAAGTTAAGTAACCAGTATAACATCAAGTCAAAAGTCAATACCTACGGGAGTGAAATGAATGGTCATAGTGTGCGAAGCACATTCAGCATGAAAAGTATGCTATTGCTGGGGGAGTCTGGAGGCATCCACCCCCCCAGAAAAT